ATTTGTTGAGAATGTTAATACAGAAAGCCATTTTCATTATTACAAGATTTTTCGGGAAGGGAAGACACAGCTAGTTAGTATCTAATAATAATTTTCTGTTGTCTTAAGTTCTATGAAATCAAAATACTGTTCTCTAGATATCAAATTGGGGCATGTTTTTTAAATGCTTTGTAAGATGTTAATCATTTAAAAAACTTCTGTAAGATATTGCCAAAATGTTAACTTTGTTGCATCCTAAATAATTACAGTTTTTGTACTGGTTATAGCTTCCTCACATCCATCTCCATCACTCCACCCCCACTCTTCATAGTATAAGAAATAAAACTGATCACTAAAGGTTTCTAGTCTTCTAGAAGTATTTAGCATAACCTTTAATATTTACTCAAGCACTTTGACTTCTATAGATGAACTCAGGTGTATGAATACTCATTTGAGCTGTGGAGTCCTTGCTGGTGAGTGCAGTGTAAAGCCAAAATTTTCTATTACCTAATAGTTAAAATTTTGCATCAGGCATGGATTTTGAAACTGTTTGCATTTATATTCATTTATTCTGGGGATAATCTAATAATGGTATTATTTAGAAAATTATAAAAAACTATGTTTGGGGAGACTGGAGATGTATCTTAGTGGTAGAGAACTCGCCTAGCATGTGCACAGCCCTGGTTTCAGTTATTATCACCACCAAAAAAAAAAAAAAGATAACAAATAAAAACTGTTTGAAAGATAGTTGTTATTGGCAAATTTCACTGGCTGCATTTGTGAAAGAAAGGCTGCATTGTGGACCTATTTTCAACTCTAATAAAAAGCCAACATCTTCTTGAATAAGCTCCTTTATCCATATTTTGAACAAATGTAAGCTGTATGTACCAAAGAATTGCAACAGACCATGAAAATGACTGCATTTCATGGGGAAACTAGTAAGCACTATACGGATGTATTTCTAGCTCCAGCATAACACCATACAAACTTAAAAAAGATAAGGAGGGTGTATCTAAAAGAGAAAAATTATAATGAAGAGAACTAGGACTGGGGGTATGATGACTCAAGTGGTCAGGGGCCTTCCTAGCAACCGCAAGTCCCCGAGTTCAAACTCCAGTACCGTGAAAAAAAAAAAAGGCTCACTAGAGAGGAAAGATAGAATTTTTAATCATCTTTTGCTAGCTACATGCTAACTATGTTGTTAGTTTATCCCCATCTTGAATGTTTGTGATTCCAGTGTCCTTTTGGAAACTGCTAGTGGCTTGAGTTTTCCACTGAAAGTGTACCAAAACAGCTTTTGGGGGTGGGGGAATCAGAGATGTTTTTCTTTTCAGTAATTTTTGCTCTTCTTTCTTCATTTGTTTCCTTTTTTGGCTGAAGAATGGGCTACTGCTGCTTGTCTTGTCATCTTTATGTGCTGTTTACACATGGCTTTTACTAAAGAAACCATTACTACATCTGATTTATCTTTTATTGCAAGTGTCCATTTAAAAGCATTTGTTTGAAAGTCAATTTTTTAAAGCACCAGATTGATGTTCCTACTGTTTGTTAGACAACCAAGAGAAACACTGATACTAAGTTTTCAAAATAGGTAGGAGATTACAAATATTCATAATATGTTAATGTACAAAAACATATGTTTTGCTTTTTAAAACCTTTTCCATAGGCATTTAAAGCTGTTCTTTCCTGAGCCATAACCTTGCCATGTTTTGCTAAAGGAAAAGAATGTAGAAACAGAACACTCGCAATTAACTGATTTTATCAGGATTGGATATTTTTAGCTTGCATGTTGCAGACCATCTGGGGATATTATCTAACTATATTGTTGATAATTTAAGTGACTGTAATATTTATTGTTTACTTTAGTTAAGAACCAGGAGCTGGACTCTGCTGGGTATCTTCCTTCTGTGCTTAGCAAGATAACCTCGATTCCTGCTGGTTCTGTGGGCCTTTGCAGTGCAAAGCATTTCTTACTGGGTTTGCAAAGCAAGGGTAATGTGCTCTGTGGATGTCTGCGTGTCCGTGCACTCCCTCAGCCCTTAGTCCCATTGCCATCTCTGTTCACTACCATTTTCTTATCAAAACTTATTTTTTAAAAATCTGTGTAGATCCTACTTAGAAGTTGAACAAATCCCTTTCTCCTAACCTGTAGAAACACTGATAGAAGTTTAATGTGTCAACTTTACCTGAGATACTTACATTTTAACAAGTCACAAAGTCATGGCAAAGATGATGGTAACATTACAAAGTTGTATCAAACTGTTAACCATGTGCTTATAAGGCCAATCTTAAGTCTCTTAACAGAATACAAAATCAAATGAAGAGTGTGAAAATCAATAGTTTTAATAGATGTGATGGATTTGGTTATATTATGTAAAGTCATTAAAGAAGTAAGATGCTAAATCTTAGGCTTTTCTAGGAGGGAATTTATTAATTTCATGAAGCAAATATATGGGTAATAACAATATAATAAGATATACTTTGAGGCTTAGAAACAAATAAAGCTGTTACGCTTTAAAGTGGTTGTAGATTTTGTGACTAATCAAATATTCTTCCTATTTTTTCTTAACAGAATACATCTCAAAATTTTCCATTAAAAATACCCTGTCCAGGATTGGGGCAGAGCTCAAGTGATAGAGTACTCAGCACTTGTACTCAGCACTCAGCACTTCAGTGTTTTTCCTGAGAACCTTGGTTCAGGAATATTTATTAAATATCTTCATAGTGCACCTATTTTAATTCTTCTATCACAGTTTCTTTCCTCAAGTTTCTAGCTGGTAATGTTTTCTAAAATCTCATGAAGACAAAGGCTGAGAATGTAACTCATCAGTAGAGCAGAGCACTTGCTTAGCATGTACAATTTCCTGGATTTGTCCCCAGCACCACAGACACACACACACACACACACACACACACACACACACACACAGACACACACACACAGACACACACACACAGACACACACACAGACACACACACACACATAGACACATAGACACACACACACACACACACACACACACACACACACACACATAGACACACACAAACAAATATTTTGAGATTCTGGTTGAGAACTTGCTAACTAAAGTCAAAATGAAGACCAACCTCAGTTGAATCCATAATCTTGGCCTACTTCAGTTGCTCAAGAAGCGCTTACTTCCATGTAGGGGCTAGATGTCTTTACTGCTTCTAGTTCATGTTTCTTTGCCAAAAGTAATATTTTCAGAAATATAAATAAGGGCTGTGAGTGTAGTTCTGAGGCTCTGGATTCAATCCCAAGCATCAAAAAAAAAAAAAATCTGGATGCAAAGTGTGATAGAGTTGATGTATATATAGTATGTATCACTAAAGTTGTTATTTAGATCTACTTGGGGTAGTTTGATCATTATTTTATATTCCTAATTGCTATCATGACTTTGGCAAAAGAGTGGTAATTCCCTATGAGTGTGTTCACTGAGATGAAATCTTCCCTAAAGTCGTCTGGCAAGCTTAGCAGTGCTGCTGCTCTTCCTCACTTGGTCCTTGTCTGCCTACCCAATATTTTACTATATAGAAAGATAAAATGAGACAATACCAGGCTCTTTTATTCCATTTAACAGAGAAAGAAATTGTTTTTCTGTTGCCACCAAAGGTAAAATTGGCCTTCACTAAGTAGGGAACAACTGACCAAATAGGTATGGAAAAATTTATTACATAGGTTACTCAGGAAAAGCTTATATGGCTCTTGCTTGAGTAGTAAAGTTTTAGAAAGATTTTCAGGATAGATTTTCACCGTGGTCTCTTATGCATAAAAGATTATGCATAACTGTGGTTGTCTTGATAGTCTCTTCAAAATCATCTCTTCAAAAATAACCTAAAAATACACTTTAGATTACATTTAATGGACTGGCAGCCAAATACCTGTAAGACACTCATATCCTGCTCATAATGCTATCTGGAACCTGTAAGTCAAGAAAGGGGTAATTTACAACTCATCAAGGCACATAAATATACAGAGTTTGAGGATTGTGAGACTTAATCCCTTTGAGTAAATAGTTTTCAGGAAAAAGCCTTTAAAAAAATCCTGTTTTCTTCCACAAAACACAGAAAATACTGAATTATACTTAGCAGGAGCCATTGACTTTTTAAATGAGATCGAGAACCTTCAAATGATAGTGTTCAATTAAATAATGAAACATTCTTGAAGCTAACTAAATAGCATCACAGTACCTTGTACGGGAGGCTGGTACTATTGCGGCATCTTTCTTCCTATAGGTCTCCCAGCAGCCTAGATAAGCAACAGCTCAATTAACACCCTGAATCACATTAAGTCTGAGTTTTGCCTTTTTGTCAAGTTGGATAGTTCAGACATAGCCACATATCAATTCCTGTTCCTGGCAAGATCCCTTTAAGGTTTCCAGGCTAATTTGATATTACATAGTTGTATAGTCTTATATAATCCAGTGGATCTTGCTGATGGTCATAGCCAAAGGCAACAGCCAAAGGCTATCAGTTATAATTCTTCACTAATATTATATGCCAAATTCTGGGTATCTCATGTCGTGGAGACTATATATCTTCTGATCAGAGTCTTGGCTTCCGGCTTTTCAACCTTGCAGTAAAAATATATTGTCAGCCATTAAGAACAGACTCTGCTAAGAGTACTTTGGACAATCATTGTACTTCTCAAAATTATAAGTCATATTTGATACATATTCTTTTGAGAATAATAAAATGTGTCCATTTCTGTTAGAAATGCCTGGGAAGAAGATGGGCTTTAGAATGGAGACAGATCTGCATCTGAACCCTAGCTCCATCACTTGCAACTCTAAATTGCTTAATCTCTCCATTTCTTATCCATAAAATAGGGATAATGACTACTTTAAAAGCATGAAAAATTAAGTAGGAAAATGAAGGTAACTAGCACAGTAACTAATACATGGTGAACATACAATATTTTTAATGTTCCTAGTAGTTTACTGATAGAATAGTTTAAATACTGAACTTATGTGGTTCAGTGAGTCACTGTTTATATTCTTTCTAAACATGCCTTTTTCTTTTTTTGGGGGGGGTGGTTAGCCTGGGTTTATTTTAGTAAAACAGGATAAAGTAGTAGGGAGAAATAAAAAAGGGAGGAGAAACATCTCCTGCTTCACATGCAGGAGATGGAGTGTTTAGGAGATCCCTCTAAACATGCCTTTCTAAACATTGAAGTTATTAAAACAGCACAAGGCAAAGCAGAAATTCCCTTGTCACCTAAATTTATTTAACTTCAGCAAAATTTTACTGAACATCTATTATGACAAAAACTATACAAGAAAGATACAAAGCTAAATAAGACATAGTAAGAGTAAAAAAGGCCTTATTCCTCAAGGTGCTCCTAATCTAATGGAAAAGACAGATGAATATGCCAGTAGTAAGGGGTATAATGAGCTGGGACTATGGCTTAGTGGTAGAGCCCTTGCCTAGCACACACAAAGTCCTGAGTTCGATCGTCACCATAGAAAAGGAGAGGGTATAATGAGAACAAAAGAAGAATGGTAGGCAGCAGGGGAAAACTCTCAGAAGAACCGACGTTTGAACTAAACATGGACTTCTAGTCTAAAAGAACAATATTTACAAAAGCATGGAGGCAAAAGAAAGCATGTTCTGATCTAGAAACTGCAGTTAGTTTTGAATTAATGGATAAAAGGATGGATGTGGAGGGCTGAGGCGTAGTTCAGTGGTAGCTCCATGAGGTCCTGGGTTCAATCCCCAGACTGAAAAACAACGAAGAGGAGGATGTTTGTGGAGGTGTAGCAAGATGAAGGTGTAGAGCTGGGTGCCAGATTTTGAGGTATTTTTTGTCTTACTAAAGAGTCTGGTCTTTAGCAAAGAAAAAACACTAAAGAGTTTTAAGCTGGAAAATGGAGTTTTCAATGTTTTGTTTTAGAAATAAACCCTTTAGCAACAGAGTAGAGAATGCATTCGTTTGAGATGAGAAAGAAGAAAAGAAAGAGGAAAAATTCAAGAGCATCAGTAATCATAAGAGCTCGAATGAAGCTAATAAATGTAGAAATAGAGACAAGCAGATAGATGTGGGTAGATAAGAGAAATGTTAGGGTAGAATAAAAATGACTTGATGATGTATAGAAACAATGGGAGTTAGGGTGAGAGGCTCAGGCAGTAACAGAAATGGGTTTCGTTTGGGGCATGTTGAATTCTGCATACCTGGGAGGATGTCCAGTGAATAGTTGTCTGTGTTATCCAAGAAATCTATACAGTGGAGCCAGCTGGAGAGGTTGACTTGCCATGTGTGAATGCTACAAATGGTTGTCCACCTGAACTGTTCCAGTTTTCTTTATATTTCTAATAATTAGCATGTATTAGGTACTCAGTAAATATTTGTTGAGTTGAAATTACTGTGGCTACAGCTTTTTAACTCTTGATTTCTTCTTTGGGGGAAAAAGACGAATAATTTTACTTAGCAATAGGCAACTTGAATTGAGTGGTGCTGGTCTCTGTCATGTTTAATTCACAAGTAGCTTCTTGATGACAGACTGTCACTTATCATTTTAGCAAACTGGCACAAAATTGGCTCTTCATTGGCTGTTTTAGGTATTTTCCTCATTACTAGTCAGCCTTCTCAGTTGTTGCAAAATTATTTAGAGATGCCTTGACGTTTCTCTCCATGCGAATGGATTTAGTGTGCTGTTTACAGCTAACATACAGCAATTTGAGAAAGCATATTTGTTTATTACCAGCTGACCTATTTTTGCACAACTCTATAGCAGCTTGTCTGACTCAAGAAAAAATTATGAAAGAAGTTCCCTAGAAGTACAGCATGCAAATAACTTAGAAAAAAGTTCTGTGTCCCAGAGATCCTAGCATATAGTAAGTGCCCTGCTAATTGTGTGGTTGAATTAGTGAATTGGTATGGTACTTTGGAATTGCATGTGATTGTATTTGATCCTAAAAGCCAAGCCTGGTAGTGTTCTCATTTTAGAGATAAGGAAATTCATACACCGTTGGCAGGAATGGTTCAAGATGCTCATGGGGGATATGTTGGAAGATGGCTTAGGAGTTATGTTGGCCCGAAGTTTCTGGGTACAAGGCATCTGTTCCTTTCTTAATAGAGCATTGGTTTATATTCATTACAACATAAGCCGGTTTACAAGGTAAAAGAACCATAATGATTTTTAACATAGTACATTTAACATGATTTGTTCACCAAAATGTACAGGCTGACCCAAGCTATGTTATTTAAAACTCCAGGAACACCTTCTTAAAAAAGTCCTTTCCTGCTATTAAGTTCCTATACAGAATGTAATATGTACAAAATTGATTTTTCCTGTGGTGAGAGACATTTAGCTCAGGAGGGAACTCTGTGTTTCCAAGATTTATCTCTTTCAGAGTTAGAGGTGTTGTGTCATTCATATGTAAAGAAACATTTCAGTTGTTGGTCATTTTTATTGTTAACAAAGACCCATTTTCCATGTTTAATAGCATGTTTGATACCATGACCACGATTGGAGTAAGTCTGTACTTTGGATGTATTCTGCTTCTATCTCCCTGCTAGCCAAAGGTTAATCTGACTTCTCTGTTAGGAGCCATGTGGTGATTACATGTGGTTTGCAGATATGAAATATTTTTCAGCCTAATCAGGATCAAGAATGTGTTTTGATTAACTCATGAATTACCCTGTATCCTGTGCATAATAATGAGTCAGAGGTGTAAGAATGACAAAACAATTCTTTTCAGTATGAAAAGTAGACCATAGGAATACAAAGTGCTAGATATTGTGTGAGACAAATTGAAATTATTTCCCAGATTAACATTGTCATAGAAACATGACCAAAATGAAGTTGGGACTACTTAAGCTGCTGATGTGTGTAATAAATTGTAGTTCTTCTTTTTGACCACTTTTGAGGCTAAAATACTTGGTTTTATTAGTATTAATATTTTGAGGCTTCTTAAAAGTCATCATTGATTCTCATAGTTCACTATAATTATCCCCACTTATTCCTAATCTTCTTGCTTTTGTATGTGTTCATTTATTTGTAGAGTATAAATGACATTCGCACAGACGAAGTGGCTGTCGTGACAAAAGGGCCATCTGCTTACCCTGCCTCTGAATGGGCAGGTCCCAAGCAGTCAGTAGATCCTAGTAAGAGCCAGATGACCAACCCACTGGAGTCTCCACAGAGCTCTGGCTTTGGCTCCCTCTCCATAAGCAGCAAGGAGACAGAAGAGAAGGAGCAGGGGGCAGCTGGCTATCTTGAGATTAAGGAGATGCCCAGAGGCCCAAGTGGGGAATGTATAGGAGTGGAGGAACAGGCCAATACCTTAAAGTTCTCGGTTACACCAGCCTCCTGTCAGCTGCAAGTTGGTGAAAAAAAGGCAGACAGTAGTGAAGAACATGTTACGCCAGGAGAGACCCTTGGAAAACAAAATGGATCATTTCTTGATTCTCGTGTGGGTAACCAGTTCCCCACCCTCATTCGAAGTTTCCAGGTAGTAACTGATTTGATGATGTGGGTCTAATGACTCTTTGGGAGAAGGCCAAATCTGTTCTGTGGAGGAGGTGGTAGTGGTGGTAGTGATGATGGCGAGGGTAGGGGCCTCTGCTTGTTTTAAAATCACAGAGTAAAATTAAAGCCCTGATTGCTACCTAAAATTAACTCCCCAGCTAGAAATATTTTCCCCTCTGATGGTTACAAAACACTTGGGAGTAAACTCCAGGTACTTAACTTTAATATGAAGCTGCAGTAAGAAAGCTCACCTTTTCTGTGCTCAAGTATGAGCTGTGGAAAGAGACAAATTGCGGTGACTTCTGTGATGAGGAGTCTTTGGTGTTCTCAGACTACGCTAAAAAAATTTCAGTACTCCTAACTAAAAGGGGCAACTGTTTTTGTTTTGTTTTAATGAGATTTCATGCCCCAAATAACCATTTATGTACTATAGCAGTGTTATGCAGCCCGCCACTACCACTGGCCCCACTCACAGGGGCTTCTGTGATCAGAGGCACTAACTTCCTGTGCTGAGATGAATGGCCACTTACCCCTATCACAACCAAATGGTAGTTTTAGGGTGATTCGTAGATTTGGGGAAGGTTAATAGATGGGAAAGGCATTAGATACTCTACTAATGTTCATTCTTCTGAAATTCTGAGATTAATCACCAGGTGGTGGTAGAACTGATTTCTCTTTCCAGCTTCCCAAACATTGTTTCTTCTCTGTAAGTCCAAAGTGAATGTCTGACATTGATTTGAAAGAAGTTAATGAATTCCAGGGTAATGCATTCCAGTACCTTTGCTGTTTCCTGTACCATTTGTACTTAGTGGAGGAAATGTGGCTGATTGTCTTAATTATAATGGTACAGTTACAAGGACAAGTGAATGTGATTGCTATTGGCAAATAGTTTTATATTCAAATTCTGAAGGTCAGTCTGAAGTATTTTATATCACCAGTCATGACTGTCTGATCTTATAATTTTCCATTAAGCTTATGAAAGTGATTACAGTAATGCTGCTTTTTAATATTCCTTGTGATGGACACCTTGTCAGGGCTACTTTGGAATAATGTCCAAGTTTTGGGCAGACGAAACACCTTTGGAGATTGAGCTTTCCCTTTGCTTGATTTGAGCTAACACTTTGATCAGATCAATGTCAGAAGGCTTAGTTCTCCACACCCTTCAGAAAGATGCTACTAACTCTGTTTCTTTACTGCTTCACAGCCTCCCCTGGTCAAAACTCAGACTGTCACCATCTCAGATACAGCCAATGCTGTGAAAAGTGAAATCCCAACCAAAGATGTCCCTATTGTCCACACTGAGACCAAGACCATCACTTACGAAGCTGCCCAGGTAGGACACTGTATGATGCTTCAGTACCAAAGACTGGAGTAAACGCAGTAAATGACCTGCTTTCCTCACAGGGCTTCTAGTTGCTTACTTCAGATAATGCCAGGCTTTCTGGGGCAGTTCTTTTTAGAGGAGATTGCTGATCTAACAATGTCCTAAAATGCTTTATTAAAAACCAAATTGGTGGCTGTAGGAAGTGATCAGTGTTGGAGCCCATGCTTAGCATGTGTGAATTCCTGAGTTCAGTCACTAGTAGTACTACCAAAACAAAAGTTGTCCTACTTCCTACTTATAGCAAAAATGCTCCTTCATTTCTGGAGTGGCTAGCATTGATTTATGTTATTTTTTTTTTCCTCACAGAAGGCAATGGTAAGAAAAACTATGTCCTCTATGAAGAGAGCTGTTAGTTCATTTCTGCAACAGATACTCACTGAGCATTTATATATTAAGCCAAGGCAATGTAAAAGGCAGACACAGTCCCTCTGTAACTTACATGCTGATAAGGAGAGACAGACAATAAAACACATAAACAAATGTATAAGCAAGTTTTAGACAGCTGTAGTGCTATAATGAAATTAAGATGGGGTAAAGATATTATACAAGGGGCTAGGAGTATAGCTCAGTGGTAGAGCTCTTGCCTGGTTTCTATCCCAAGCATCACCAAAATCAGAGAGAGAGAGAGAGAGAAAGAGTATGAATATGAATATGAGATCATGGAAAGGTGATCCAAGGAAATCTACTCTGTAGAGGTGACATTAGGCTGAGGTCTGAGTGATATGAAGGAGGTAGCCATGTGCAGTTCGAGCTGTGCAGTTCTAGCTGGGTCCATTCACGTAGTTCCTTTCAGTCAATCCTCACATCACCATTAGCTGAACTGAATGAATTACCTCCATTTAGGAAACAGTGTAGCTTGGTGGGGAAAAGCATGTGTTTTGCAATTGAACAAAGAGAATTTATATTCTATGGGACAGAGTGGTTCACACCTGTAATCCTAGCTACTTGGGAGGCTGAAATCTGGAGGATTGCAGTTCCAGCCAGCCCAAGGGAAAAAAAAAATCTTCGAGACTCCATCTCAATGGAGAAAAAAGCTGGGTGTGGTGGTGCCCACCTGTTATCCCAGCAACAGTGGGAGGTATAAATAGGAGGATCAACACCTAGGCTGCCTGAGCAAGAAGTGAAACCCTATCTCCAAAATGACCAGAGTTGTGGCTCAAGTGGTACAGTGGCTGCCTAGCAAGCCCAAAACCCTGAGCTCAAAAGTTCAAACCCCAGTACTGCCCAAAAAAAAAAAAAAAAAAAAAGAAGAGTCCTAGTTCACTGAGGTGGATACTAGCTAGATAATCTTAGACAGTTTGCCAGTCTCTCTTAACTTCTGTTTTTTTGGCTGTAAAATGGGGATAGTACTACCTAGTGTTTCGAGATTTGGAGGAGGATTAGGTGAGATGATGTCTGTAAATCCTTGGCACATTCACAGACATCTGGTTTTACTATGCTTCCCAGTTCTCTCTCTCTCTTTGTGGTCTAGTGTGGAATTTGAGTTTGGTAAATGAGAACTTGCTTAAAGTTTTTAGTGGTGTTAATAAAATAGCACGATAAAAGCAATGATTTTGTAAGGTGATTCCTAAAACTGTGTACTGAGTATATTAAAGTCGAGACCTGGAGACAAGACTGTGACTAGGTCATATCTGGGGCAATGGTTATTAAGAGCTGAAGCGCAGCCTTAGGAAATGAGAAGAAAGAGAAATGAGAATGAGAAGAAATAGACAAAGATGCAAAAATGAATGAGGACTTGGCAATGAAGAGAACTGAAAAAGAGAGGAATCGAAAATTACTTTAAGATCGGGTACACTATTAGCTGGATGACGTAGTAAAGAGTTACCTGCATATAGAGAGGAATTCCTTCAAATTGTTACTACCATGGAAACAGCCTAAATGTTTATTAGATAGGGAGCTGGCTAAATAAATTATGGAACATCCAATTAGAGTAATTCTATATGGGTTCTAATGGGAACCATCTATGTGATGAACTTGTGAATGAACGAGCATGGTGCAGTATGGTGTATCTGTTTATGGATAGGAAAAGGGAAGCAGATACAGATGTGTATGTGTAGGCTTGTGTAGTATTACACTCTCTCTGGATGGATAGTCTAAAAAATAAAAAATAAGAAATGTGATCTGGGCATGGTGGCATATGTGTAATCCCAGCACTTGGGAGGCAGAGGCTCAAGCTCAGGCCAGCCTGAGGCACACAGCAGGATTTTGTCTCAAAAAAGAAGTTGTATGGCGGGCTCTGATGAATGAGACTGGAACTGCAGGACACTGACTAGGAGCGGGAGAGAGACTGACTTTACTGTTACACAGTTTTGAAGTTTTTAAATTTTGTATGTATAGATATAAAAAAATTAGTAGTTAAAATACATTATTTTAGACTGGGTGTGGTGGAGCATGTCTATAATCCCAATTACTCCAGAGGAAGGAGAAGTGGAGAGTTTGAGGCAAAGGTAATAGCAGACACTCTCTCAAAAACAAAATAAAAAGCTGGACACCATTGGCTTACACCTGTAATCCTAGTTACTCAGGAAGCAGAGATCAGGAGATCATGGTTTAAAGCCAGCCGGGGCAAATAGTTCATAAGACCCTATCTTTAAAAAACCCATCCCCCCAAAAAAAAGGCTGGCGGAATGGCTCAAGTGGTAAGAGAGTCTGCCTAGGAAGTGTGAAGCCTTGAGTTCAAACTCCAGTACCACAAACACACACACACACACAAACAGAGAGAGACACCAAAACAAAATAAAGGCTGTGGGCACGTTTACATGGTAGAGCACTTGTCTATCATGTACAGTGCCTTGGGTTTCACCCCCAGGACTGACAGCAGGGGAGTTGGGGAAAGAGGGGGCTTTAAAATTATATAGGGCTAGTGGAGTGACTCAAGTGGTAGAGTGCCTGCCTAACAAGCGTTATGCCCTGAGTTCAAGCCCCAGTAACGCAAAAAAAAAGAAATGTTAGGACCCCACTACCCACAGAAGCCTATGTGGTTTAAATGTAATTCCTACAAAAAAATGAAATGTGAGAAAAATATAAAATTAACAAAGTATGCTAGCACCTTGGAATTAGGCTTGGATCTTAATTCCAAAAAACGTAAATAGTTTTTTGACCTTGGGCAAGTCATTTAACGTTGAGCCTTAGTTTTCTCTTCTAGAAAGTACTTTTATAAAATTGTTGAAATAAATATAAAGAAGCTAGGTATGGTGGCACATGCATGTAATCGCAGCACTTGGTAGTCTGATGCAGGAGGATGGTGAATTTAAGGCCAGATGGGCTACATAGTGAGATCCTGACCCAGATGCTGGTGGTTCATCCTGTAATCCTAGCTACTTGACAGGCAGAGATCAGGAGGATCATGGTTGGAGGCCAGTGATAGCAAAGTTTCTGACTCCCCCTCCCCCCATCTCCAAAATAACCAGAGCAAAATGAACTGGAAGTGTGGCTCAAGTGGTAGAGTCCCTGGTTTGTGAGCACAAAGTACTGAGTTCAAACCCCAGTCTCACAAAAAAAATAATAAACAAAACATTGTGAGACCCTGTCTCAAACAAAACAAAACAATGATGTTTGCCTGGTACATAGTACATATTCAAAAATGGTAGCTATCTGACATTATTTCATTTTAGCCAGGCTTAAGCTGGCAGAATGGCAGAAAGCAGTAAGAGCACCTGCCTTGCAAGCGTGAAGCCCTATGTTCAAACCCTAGTGCCATCAAAAAACAATCAACAACAACAAAAAGCACATCAACCAGTGTTAAGACAACCAAAATACAGATTGCTTTGTATTATTATTTTTTTTTGTCAGTACTAGGGTTTGAACTTGGCTTCACACTTGCTAAACAGGTGTTTGAACCACATCTCCAGCCCCTGCTTTTCATTATTGATGTAACAGTGATACATAGTGTGCAAGACTGTCAACTGTGGAGTCAGATACCCTGGATTTGAACCTGCTCCTTCACTTCCTAGTATGCAGCCAGGTACTAAATTACTTTGTGCCTCAGTTTTCTCATTTGTAAAATGTGGCTAAATAGTTCTACTTCATAGGCAGTTGTGAGGAATATATATGTGTGTGTGTGTGTGTGTGTGTATATATATATATATATATATAATCTCAGACTTTCAGCAGAACTGCTCAGGACTGATAACATTTCAAGTCTGTAAATATGGACACCAACGCCATTTAAGCTAATTTAAGAACCGAGGGGAACTGAACCTTCCATGCTGAGGGCTGCATGCTACTGCGTTTAAATCAATACATTGGCTACCTGGTTACCGCTGTCGGCCGAGGCAGCACCTGTAATGTTGGCAGCACTTTGAGAGCAAGTCTGAATGGACCCACGTGTAATCTGCTATGGAAACCCATTTGTATAGTGTGTTTCATTTTTTAATGTGTGAAATAAAGAAAATTAAAGGAAAAAAAATGATTCCAAAGTGTCTGGCTTATGATAAGCACTAGCTATTTCTCTTTTTTTTTTTTTCTTTTTTTTTCTTTTTTTGAGACAGTCTTGTATGTAGCCCAGACTGGCCTTGAGCTCATGATTCTCCTGCCTCAGTCTCCTCAGTGCTGGGATTACAGGTATGTACCATCACACCCATCTTGCTATAGTTATTATTTACTGAAACTATTTCTGATTTTTTTTTTTTTGCTTGAAGTATCATTTTTTAAGTCACAATCTCCATATTTTGGGACATGTAGTAAGAGATGGGGAACCAGGGTTATGTTTTCATTTGTGTGTGTGTGTGTGTGTATGTGTGTTAAAATTTGTAATGAAGTGCACAGATTTTAAATGTTTGGCTTGGCTAGACTGACAAATGTCTACACCTATGTAACCAAGACATGATTAGGAGTCAGAACATTTCCATTATTCCTGCCCTGATTTCTATCACTATAGTTAGTGTTGCCTGGTTTTGGACATTATATAAATGGGAATACACAGTAGTATAATTTTGTGTATGGCTTCTTCTCTGAACAGAATACTTTGTTTCATCCACATTTTATAAGTCAGTAGCTCAGTCTTATTTATTGCCGAACAGTATACCACACCCATTTATTTATTTATTGTGGCACTGGGATTTGAACTTAGGACCTCACACTTCCTAAGCGGGTGCTCTTACCGCTTGAGCCACTCCACCAACCCTTTAATGTGATGGTTTTTTTTTTTTTTTTTTGAGATAGGGTCTCTTGAACTATTTGCCCAAGCTGGCGTCGAATTGCAATCCTCCTGATCTCTGCCTCTCCGGAGTAGCTAGGATTACAGGCATAAGCCACCAGCGCCCGGCTATCCTTTTATTTCTTGTTGGACAATTGGGTTCATTCCGGTTTGGGATAAATATGAATAAAGCTGCTGAGGACATTCACATACAAGTCTTTTTGTGGACATTCTACTTATCCTGAGTAAACACCTAAGAGTGAAATTGCTAAATTAGAGGATCTGTGATTATTTATAAGAAATTGTCAAAACCATGGTACCATTTTGAGGAAGCACTGGTAGGAATATCAAGGTCGAGAGACCCCATGTAGGAAGAATGGAAGCAGGCAATCATAAAAGTATCTCCTCCACCTTCCACCTTCTTCAGACTCAGAAAAGAGAGTAGAGGGCTGGGTAGGAGGCAGAGGCAGTCATGAATCTGTAGAGGAGAAGCTATGCAAAAGTGTTGGCCCTACTGACATGCGAATTTATATTCTTGTATTGGTTTATAAGACATTTCATTTCTATAATTTCTGTTGGTCTTCACAATGCTATGGTATTGGCAAAGCCCATACTAGTGTTACCTCTAAGCAATGAGAAAACTAAGGCTCAGAGCAGTTAGAATGACTTGCAGAAGGTCCCATAGCTAGTTACTGTCTAAGCTGGAACCCAAGTCCCAGTCTTCAGACAAGAAGTTTCTTGCCTGCCCCATATCCTAGTTCAAAAACCCACTAACTATAGAACCTTGGACGAGTTATTTAACCTCGCTGGATCTCAGGTTTCCTAATTGCACAGTGACTGTAGCAATGTGTCACCTCAGATCTTGAGAGGCATCATTGAGCTAAGAGTCGAATGATGTGTTTTACGCATCGTAGGAGTACAGGAAATACTAGGTGAGACTGAGTCTAAGGAAGGTAAGTGGTCTTGCCTAAAGAAAATATTAGTGAGCTAGCTAATATTATACATGGTGTGAAGGTAGCATGTGTTTGAGACTTAGTCAGGTGTCACAGTGATGTTCTCTCTCTTTGGTTTTTTTCAGACTGCCACCTAGAGGGGAGCCCAGCCAAGGACTCTGCTCCTTTCTAATTCTCTTCTCCTCCATGTGCCCTCCCCCTCATGTCTGAGTTTTGTTTGAATGAAATGTGATCCTGCTCCTAGAAATAAAGCTAGGCATGGTGTCAGGTATCTGTAGTCCCAGTTACTTGGAAAGAGGAGGATTGCTTCAACTGGAGCGATATAGTGAGACCATGTCTCAAAAAAATGCCAGCCATAGTGGTGCACAGCGCAATCTCAGATCTTCCTGATGCAGGAAGGATCTCGAGTTCCAGACCTGCCTGGGCTACATAGCAAGACCCTGTCTCAAAACCCCCAGCCCTCCAAAAACGTTAGCAGCCTCTGGTTATAATACAAATGACTTACATAAAGAGGCAGAGGAGAGTAACCTAGCACATTTTTGCCACAGGGTTCTTTATGAAAAGGATTATAATCCTCTAAATCCCCCTCTGATACCAGCACAGGGTATTTATCTGAAAAGCACGTTTCTATTTGCAGACTCCGCCTTCCTCATCCAGTTTATTTCCGTCTTGGTAGTGGAGGTGTCACCAGCTCTGAGTCTCACAGTCCAAATACCTGTTGATAACTGTCGGGCTGAGCTTGGCCACTGCCAGCCGTCTTTCCCTCTTCTCCCAATGTCATTTCTCAGCCTGACCATAGTACATTGCTTTGACTCTGACGTAATGAGCCTGGAGAAAGGATAGGTAGTCCCAGCCCTTGTTTTCTATACAGATTAGTTGTATAGCCTAACATTTTAAATACTTCAAAAGCCCTTCCAATAAGGAGGGTCCCTTTCAATAATAGTTTTGAAATAGTCAGAAATGTCATTAAAATATACTATGCATATTTTCTCCCACTTTCTCCTAGAAGGACCTCATTTACTCCAGTTTCCCATCTCAGTCTTTCAAGAAGATGGCTTGAGATTCTTTGGTCCCTAAGTTGTAGCAAGGACCTTTCCCACTTTTTTTTTTTGGTACTGGGGTTTGAACTCAGGGCCTGCGCCTTCAGCCACTCCACCATCCTTTTTTTGTGATGGGTTTTTTTGAGGTAGGGTCTCATGAACTATTTGCCTTGGGCTGGCTTTGAACCAAGATCTTCCTGATCTCTGCCTTCTGAATAGCTAGGATTACAGACATGAGCCATCAGCACCCAGCTTCCACTTCTTTCTGGAAAGTTTTACCCTATGATACAGAACCTATCTGTGCCTTAGGTTTCCTGTCTAAGATGTTGTGGAAAGAAATCCAGGTTTGATGACAGAACAATTACTGCTTACTAGTTCTGAGTCCTTGGGCAAATTGTTCACCTTTCTGAACTTGAGTTTTCTTAATGGAGGGTATTAATAATCTCTGCCCCTTCTATTAATTTCACAGGACTGGTGTGAGCATTCGTACATATATTAAAGACCATTTGTGAACTAAATACTGTACACATGGATAGCTGTTAGGCAGCAGCTGCCTCCAGTAACATGGTGTCACTCTTGTTGGACCTGTGGCTACACTCCTGCCTTTTCTCTCTAATCTACTTCTCACTGATCCAGTGCAAAGGAAACTGCCCATCCAACTTTTTTAGAAAGAGCCTGTTCCCAGGGAATTTATTGGATTTATTACGAGATCACTATAAGGGCATTAGACCTTTGCATTAGAATGTACACCTGAAGAATAAAGCTGCAGACTGCAACACTTGTCCACAAGGCCTTCTGAGATACATGGTGATGAGTGAGTTGTGCTTTCTCCTGCAGACTGATGACAGCAATGGGGACTTGGACCCAGGAGTCTTACTGACAGCTCAGACCATCACCTCTGAGACCACAAGCAGCACCACCACAACGCAGATTACCAAGGTAACAGACCCGCCAGAACTTCCTTAAGGAGTCCAAGGGTATGTTGAGCTTGCTTCTGCCCCTGGGGGCAAAGGACCCTGTCCATAAGCAAAAGTTTTCAGCTCCATCCCTATTTGAGGCAAATTATTCCAAATGTCCCATGTAGAAAGGCCCTGCTTTTCCCAGCAATAAGCCTAGCTACTTAGTAGTCTCATAAAGCCACAGGTAGTCATTCCCTGTTTCTGTATAGCTATGAAGGTCTAGCTATGGAGGTAAATTTAAAAGGTGGTTTGGGCCCAGCATGGTAGCACACATTTGTAATCACAGTTATTCAGGAGACAGAGGCAGGAGGATCTCAAGTTTGAGGCCAGCCTGGTCAAAGGTAGCAACAAGACCCTGTCTCAAAAAAACAAAACAAAGGGCTGGAGGTGTAGCTTAGTGGTAGAGCACTTGCTTAGTATGCATAAGGCCCTGGGTTCAGTTTTTAGCATTGCACAAGACCATGCGTAAATACACATACAGTCAGCTTACAGGCAGGTATTGTTTGTATTACGGTACAACCATATGTTCCAAGTCAAAAATCAGATCTCAGGGTCTGGTTTGACAAAGAATTTTACTGTCATATCTAGAGTCAAGGCCATGGGAACTACTCTTTGGATGCTAATATACTAGAATTATTAGTATATGGTTTATAGGAAATAATAGTGATAAAATATCTACAATTGGAACTGCCCCCAGAAAATCAGAGGCAATCCATGTTTTCTTTTATAGTACTAGAGGGAAATGCACTTTCTTATAGGTAAGAAATTTAGTTTCTTGACCAAGCTCTGTCATAGCACAGAGATGACTGAAAGTCAGTTACTTAATGTCTAGATCCTGGTTTTCTTCATCTGTCATGGAAACTTACCCTCCATCAGGAGTTATTTGAGGATCTTTGACAATACTATGAAAGTGCTGTAAAATAAGATTCTAATTTCAGGGTGTGTGACATTTTCGTTTATAGTCTTCTGATTTTTTTTTTCATTCTCAAAATAAGTAAAACATTACAGGAGAAGAACAAAGAGAAACACTTGTTTTGTTTACTTGCAGAATTTCTTTGGTATTTGAGAGGAAGAAATAAGGAAAAAGTCAACAGAGAACTGTATCTTTCTGTTCAGCTTAATGAAAGTTCTAGCAACCCAAGGGAATAGGTGTGCTCATTTTAGCAGGTCTTACCAAGATTTTAGACAAGTGGATAAGAAGCTATCCAGGCAGGACCAGCAGCAGATTAAAATTTGGAGTAGACACACACTTGTAACCCCAGTACTTAGAAGGCTGAATCATAAACAAATTCCTGGACAGCCTGAGCTATACAGTAAGACCCTGTCTCAAAAAAACAAAAAAAAGAAAAAAGACTATAATCCCAGCTACTCCAGAAGCTGAGGCAGGAAAATCAAGAGCTTGAGATGAAGGCAGGCAAAGGGGCTCAAGTGATAGAAGCACCTGCCTAGGCAAGCATGAGGCCCTGAGTTTGACCCACAGTACTGCCAAGAAAAAAAAAAAAAAAGTTCAAGGCCAGCTTGGGCTAGAAGTTATTGAGACTTTATCACAACCAATAACCCAGGCATGGTGGCACACATCTGTCCTTCCAACTATTTGAGAGACAGGTAGGAGGATCTTAGTTGGAGGCCAACTCTGGGCAAAAACAGGAGACCCTATCTGAAAAATAACTAAAGCACAAAAGGACTGGGGTTATGGTTCAAGTGGTAGAGTGCCTGCCTAGCAAGTGCAAGACCCTAAGTTCAAATCCCAGTGCCACCAAAAATTTTTTTAAGGGCTAAAATGTGGCTCAGTGGTGGAGTGCTTACCTGTCAGACACAAGGCTCTGGGTTTAAGCTGTAACAGCCCACAAAAATAAAACAAATGGACTAGAGTATTCAGAATAATCTGTGATGTTTTGTTTTGTTTTTCTTGTTATATTGCTATTCTCATATGGCTCCCTCCCTTTGGTTACAGACTGTAAAAGGTGGGATTTCAGAGACCCGAATTGAAAAGAGAATTGTGATCACAGGAGATGCTGATATTGACCATGATCAGGTGGGAATGCTGAGGAGCTTGTGGGTATGGGAGGGAAGGATGGATGGGCAAAGGAGCATGCTTACAAATGATACCTCTGGGGTCTCGGGGTGTGGGTAAAGTAGTAGAGCGTCTGCCTAGCAAGTGCAAAGCCCTGAGTTCAAACCTCAGTACAGCAAAAACAAAAAAAAATACCTCTGCCATCTTCATCTCCAAAAAGCTGCTTCAAAGGCTACTCTAGCTCTTGAGAAGAAAAACAAAGGGAATCAAAACAGAGAGACCTGAGGATGGGGGGGATGCAGATAGGAAAACCAGGAAGTACAAGGGAAAAAAACACCAGTTTTGGACTCAAAAGACTTCAGGCCAAATGCTGGTTCTTACTGTATGCTAGCTCTTAACTCTCTGCACCTCAGCTATAACTTGGGGATTGTAGTATCTTCCTTTCAAAGTTGCTGCATGGATCATGAAAGACACTGGATGTGTGAGCGGACAGGTGCGTGGTGGGCTCGGAGTACGTGGAGCTGTTGTTACCCAGGAGGAGCATGCCCTAACCCTGGGCCAGGTGATTCCATGGCGAGCGGGATGCACAGCATGCTGCGGTAGCTGAGGAGACAGCAAGGGGAGCACAGGGTGTCGACGAGACACCAGGACACTGGGAACCACCCTTTGTCCTAGATCTGTTGCAAGTTGCTGTGCGACAAACCATTTACCTCTCATGTTTTTCCTCCCTTAAAAGGAGTGGGTTGTTCCAGATAATTCCTTGGCCCTTCTGGGTGCTAAAATTCTATGTTTTTATGTTAATTAGGTACTAATTGTGTGCTACAAGCAATTATCAAATAATAAGGTCAGGATTAGTGTTCCCAAATCTCTGCTGGGTGAGGTTAGAACAGTAAAGCTTCAGAGAAGAGGGGGTGGAAGAGACTGCATGCAAATGATTCTGGAATCATTGACAGATTTGCTAGAGCAGTAACTCTGTGGCCTTTTTGCTGATATGCTGCTGCCTACCTTCAAAAAAAAGAAAAACTGAGCTGCAACATTGGCAGTTCTCTTGGTATTGGGGTTGAGAGTTACAGCTGAGAATACTGAGCTCAGGGTCCCAGAAACAAGGCTGCAAAGCCCCAGTGGGAGGCCGTGCAGGTTGTTTGCCCAGCTCAGTGAGCATTACCAGCCTGCATCAGGTGTCCTTTGAGCCCTTTGCTATGTGCTTAGTCTGCAGTAGACAGCAAGATCAGTGAAGGTATTTGTACTTTCAGATTCAAACCTGGACTGAATCCTAACTCTGCGAATTACCAGTTGTGTGTCCTCAAGCAACTTACATCACTTGTGAGCTGCAGTTTCACCTTCTGTAACAAAGGCCATCAAAAGTTTTGTCCATGGTTGTTGAAACAGCAGGATACATACACTTAAGAGACATGCTGTAAGGTCCCTCCACTCCTAGGAGAATGGAGGGACCTATGGGAGGCATGAGATGGTGCTCTGTGGCTGGGGAGGGAGGCTTTTTAGGAAGGACTGTTAAGGAAAGCAGTATGAGCTGAGCACCAGTGGCTCAGAAGGCAGAGATCAGGAGGATCGAGATTCAAAGCCAACACAGGCATAGTTTTTGAAAATACCCAGCACAAAAAAGGGCTGGTTGAGTGCTCAAGTGGTAGAGTACCTGCCTAGCAAGCCTAGCAAGCGTGAGGCCCTGAGTTCAAACCCAAGTCCCACCCCAAAAAAAAAAAAGTGTGGTACCAGTGTTCCTAGAGACAGGGAGACAAGAGTTACCAGAGAGAGGGGTTGAGCTGAGCATGAAGTGTGAGCAGATGGATGAGAAAAACCGGCTCAGGGACATACACTTAAGAGACATGCTGTAAGGTCCCTCCACTCCTAGGAGAATGGAGGGACCTATGGGAGGCATGAGATGGTGCTCTGTGGCTGGGGAGGGAGGCTTTTTAGGAAGGACTGTTAAGGAAAGCAGTATGGCTGAGCACCAGTGGCTCAGAAGCAGAGATCAGGAGATCGAGATTCAAAGCACACAGGCATAGTTTTTGAAAATAACCCAAGCACAAAAAAAGGGCTGGTTGAGTGCTCAAGTGGTAGAGTACCTGCCTAGCAAGCCTAGCAAGCGTGAGGCCCTGAAGTTTCAAAGACCCAAGTCCCACCCCAAAAAGTGTGGTACCAGTGTTCCTAGAGACAGGGAGACAAGAGTTACCAGAGAGAGGGGTTGAGCTGAGCATGAAGTGTGAGCAGATGGATGAGAAAAACCGGCTCAGGGAGAAGGAGCATGCTTTTTGTGGAGCCAAGAGTTCAGAAGGGCAGTTTCCTCTCCCCTTGTCCCTCCTAGAGATTATCTTTCAGAGCCAGAGCAAGCAGGCACCTAGTCATTTCCAGCCAGAGTCCTTTTTGACAGGGGCCTGAAGGCTGAGCAGCAGGCAGCCAGGAGAGTGGTATCACTACCCTCCTTTCACCTTCCCTCTGTTCTCTTCAGCTTTTCTACAGTAATCCAAACTCCTCCGGTACTCAAACAGGACCCCTTGGGAACTTAACAGACAGTATGGTAAAGAGGAAAGTGATAGGCTCATGTTAAAAACCCCTGTTGCTTCACTTACTAGCTGTGAAACAGTAAGCACTTTATCTAACCTGCAGTTTTCTCTATACAATGGAAATAATGATGCTAATCCCTCATTGCTGTGAAGATTAAGTAATAAGTGATGTGTTTAGACCAGTGTGTGGCATGTCATAGGCCCTTCCTCCTCTTCCTTCCTTTCTTCTACTGTAGCCAAAGATATGTCTCCCTCTTTGTAGCCCTTCTTTACTTTCCACTTCTGAATCCAGCTATCCTATGTTGAACACAGAGTTTGTCCTCTAGATTCAGTGCTTGAGTGAATCCTCAAACTCCCACGTAGATGTAGCTGTCATCTCTGAAGTCCCGCTCTGATTCCCTAAAGAAAAATATTCTCTGTGTTGTCAGTTCAGGAGCCTCCACTAGGCAGATGGTAGAGGAGGGGCAGGGTAATGACTAGCTTGTCCTCGCCTAACTGCTGCCCTGGTACATTGTCAAAGAGACCCATGCCTTTCTTCACCAGCCAGACTAATTTTTGTATGATGGGTTTTTTTTCACAGGTCCTCGTACAAGCCATCAAGGAGGCAAAGGAACAGCACCCAGACATGTCAGTGACCAAGGTGGTTGTCCATCAGGAGACTGAAATCTCTGAGGAATGAGCTCAGGTAGGGGACTGAAATCTCTGAGGAATGAGCTCAGGTAGAGGATGTCCCAGCCTGAGAGAACTCTGGCGAGAGCCTATTACTCCAAAAGGTATCCATCCTGGGACTTGATAAAGACAGGGGACACTATTTACTATTTGGTTCCAGCAAGCAGCCAGGTCCTTCGTGTTCTCCTGAGTAGGGGGTGAGTACCCCAAACTTGGATGTAAATCCCTGTCCATCTCTGGAATCCTCATGGCCTCCCTCTACTTCCACATTTCACTTTCCCCTGCGCTCGCTCTCTGCTGCTCTTCTTTCTGAGTCTCTGGGATTTCTGGACCTGAACCTGGGAGCCAGAGGAGAAGAAAGCCAAGAAGAGCAGGACCAGGGCTGCTGGAAGTGCGTGGGTTGGGAAGGGTCAAGGACAGTGGCTGAAGTGTTGGGCCAGGCTAGAACATTGGTAGTGGGGATGCTTTTTTTAGGAGCCAAGGATCCAAACAAATTCATGCCTAAAAGTAGTCCACAAAGAACTTACAGAGACCATCAGTCAACAGGTAGGACAAGCCCAGTGTTCAGGTCCTAATTTTTCACTTATGGCTATACAAGAACTTGGCAGTGGCTCTGGGAAACTTTCTCCTGTGCAGGATTTAAAATGTTTTTCTTTCTTTCCTCTAGGAACTGTCCTCCCCCAGCCCCTGCCCTCCTCCCATCCAAGAGAAACCAGCAAAATAACGAAGCCAACATGCAATAGTCAGACTTCAGAAGTTCAAGATTATTCTAAACCACCATTTCATTTTCTATTAGGAATTTATACCAAGAGATTCTTCTAGTTCTCACTGATCCTTTTGAAAACGTTTTTCTATATTGTGATACCAGAGTTGTTCAACTTTTCACTCTATGAACTGTTTTTAGAAAGGTGTTGGCTTTTTATGGGGTGGTTTGTAACCCCTTCAACCTAGCCTGTCCTCACTCATTTCCAACCCAGATATAGACAGGGTCCACAGACTTCTCTGGGAAATCCTCCAGAGACTCTGTCAGCTGTGTTGGAGGCCAAAGCCAGTTCAATCGGACTTTCCTGATCCTCCCCTAGTTTTATGCCCTTTGGACGACAGCAAAAACTTCAAGAACTAGCTCACTCTCAGAGCCAACATGATGTCATCAGAATGTCAGGCAGGGCGACTGTCCTGATCCACAGACCCCAGAAAATGTCTTGTCCCTTTGTTAGGGTGTTTCTGGTGAGGCAGAGACCTCTACTGAGAATGTGGTATTGTTTTTCCTCTCCCCTCCTGTTCTGTTTTGGAGATTCTTTAGGTAAGAGGCGTAAGAAGTTACTTCAGACAATCCGATACTGTGAATGTTTGAACATATCTGTGGCCTTCACCTCCCTGGCTGCCCTTGTACCTCATCTGAAGCAGTGGCTCTGACAAGAACTCCTCAAGCTCCCATCTCAGGAGATCAAAACTCACGGAAAAATAGGCACTTTTGGCCAAAAGCTCCAATAGAGCATTTTTAGTGGTGATCTGGGGAAGGAAAGTTAATGAGGTTTTTAAAACAAGGCCTTCCAGTTCTGGGAGTGTGTACTCACACGGGATCAGTAGAGTTTACCTCAGTAGGATTCTGCTAAGGAGTCCTTCCACATCCAGGGATATGCCTGTCTACAGGCACCTGCCTGAGGATACCCTTCTGGAGCAAGGGTATTGGCTTTCAGTGGCCATTCCTCCCATAGTACACCACATGACAGGGCTACAAAGCCCCAGTTCTGCCCATTCCAGATGAACTGTGCTGTTGGAACTAATTTGGAGTGCATGCATTTTTCTTTAGTTCTCAGGTAAGACTGATACTACTAATAGGCAGCTCTCTAAGGAGGGAACCGAGGAAACAGGTGTGATATGGACAGGCATGGGGGAAGCAGGCTGTCCTGTCTCAGGAACAAACTTACCGGCTGAAGCACGAGGTCTGAAATGACGAGGCTTTTTGGATGGGGCCCAGCCAGGGCTGGGTTGCCAGAAGCTATAGCAAGTTAGACTTCAGCTCCCCATGGCCAGCTGCCTGCTGGAGCTTGGGACAAAGAGGATGGGGGAAGAAGAGGGTGGGTGCCCATGAGTGCTCGGTGCCATCCGGATCAGAGTGGCAGCTCTCATGACACAGGACCTCTGACCTGGGGACCTAAATCCTCCTCAGCTCTGCCACCTTTGTCTGTAATTAGACCTGAACAACTAGCATCCTTCCAGGCCTCTTCCCCCTTCCTCCCCATCTGGCAAGAGATCTCAGTGTTTGGCAATTTGGATTTCTTTTTTTTTCTTTCTGCACTTGTGTGTGTGAAGAACAGACTCTGTCCGGTAGAAATGGTGAAGGAGGGGAGGGAGTGACATTTCCAGGGTCAGGGACTCGGCAGTAATTTTCCTAGAATGACTCAGACACACCACAGTAACAACTCTCACTGCAATTTTATTTTTACTTCAGAAGTAAAGATTTCCTTCAAAACTCATGAGCTCTTAGCCACCCACCCACAAAGCAAGACCTGCACTCAGAAGCTGAGGGCTTGGTGAGCCAACATGCAGGGACTCATCAGGATACCTGTGCCCCCTCCCCAGGCCATCCCTGTGCATTCTGGGGGATGCTGAGCAGCTGGGGGTGAGGGAGCTACTGTCTACCCTGGGAAATGGAGCCGGAGTTGTGGCCCGACAAACACCCTCCAAGCTCATGGAAAGCACCAGGATCTCAGCCTCACGCTGCTTGTTTTTACAGATCTCTCTCACAAATGTATTATTTTGGTGACAAAATGAAGGAGCTTTGTAAATTTTTTAAAAAATTATGAATTATATCAAGTAGTTGTTTACATTTCTTGACAAAACACAACTATGGCAGCAGAATTAAATCGGCAAAATCCTTAGATTAAATAGGCAATAATTAGGTCTGCTGTTTTGGCCTTTTTTTAGTAAGAGAAGTGGTTGTAGTGCTTAGATATGTGTTTGGTCTTGCTTCTTGCATTTGCATTTTTCAATAAACTGTTAAAAAAAATTGCCTGTGAGGACTGATCCACTTTTGAACATCTCTTCCTCCAGCCACTTGGGGAAAAGTAAAGCAGGGAAGGAGAGCTAAACTGAAAGCATTGTCTAAGCTACCACCCTGGCCAAAATGCAGCCACAGGGTTATAGGAAGGGACTTCAGAGAACTGACAAGTACTGTCAGCTGGAGGGAGGTTTTGCAGCACAAGCCATGAAGGAGAGAAGGCTGTTTCCCACTGTTTACCGGGGAGGGGCCAGACCTCAGAAGGAAGGCATTGGCAGTAGTGAGCCCTAGAGAAAATCTCGCAGGGTTGAGAAGGGTGTGAGGTGGTGGGAGTCAAAGGCTCAGTCCCCATCCCAGATAGCAGTGGAGGGGCTCAGTTCCACCCCATTGCCCATCTTCCCAGAGGCCCAAACTCCATCACCAGTACCACCTTGGACAGAGCCTGTCCTAGCCTGAAACATCCCAACCTACCTTCCAAGTCTTAGGGGTCCTTGCCCACCACTTTGCGTTTGCCAAAACACCTTGGCCTGGACCTCAGTACCTGTCCAGGGCTAAGGCCATGTATGGACACTGAAGACATTCCTGAGGCTGTCATTGCTGTCTCCACACTCCACATTAAAACACATGCTGTCTGGCTCCCTGAGCCCATTGCAGCCTGCATTTCTGTGCCCGCATTACAGGTCAGGTGGCTGTGACCAGAACATCCATCCTGGACTGGGATGTGACTGAAGCAGCTACAGACATTGGGCTGCTGGTCTCCTGTCCTGTTACCGTGGTCCATGCTGCAGCCTCACAGCAGCTTATGCCCTGCTCCTCAGACCCGTGCCCCCGAGTCCCCTCCTCCTCCCAATTTGGCATACCCCCCCAGACTGAGTCGGTCCAGGCGTGGCCAGCTTCTGTGAGCACAATCCCGAGCTGCTGGGCCCCCAAGAAGGAGCTCCCCAAGGCCCAGATCCAAAGACTTGGAATGTTCAATGCAGGAGCCAGAGGGCTGCACTGTGATGATCACGTGGCCGGTCTGGGTTCGGGGACCCCAGGGCGGATGCAGCCCTGGGCCCTTCAAGGGGTAGCTGTTGAGCAGGGCAGACAACCCCAAGCGAGGATTAGCCGGCTCTGAACGCAGACTCCGCACCGACGGGGCGGGTGAGGTACCCCGATGCGGAGACAAGTCTAGTTCTGCGCAGCCTATGGCTCCGGGAGTCCTGGGACCCGGGCTGGGAAGGAGGGCGCAGTCCCAGCTGGGGCCGTCGGGGGGCCGCAGGGCCTGGGCCCGCAGCACCCCCTGGCGGAGTCGCCTTGTCTCCAAGTCTCGGTTCTCATACAAGAGCGTGTTGGCGCAGATGAACACAAACAAGCCGACGCCCATGATCACCGGCCCCAGCAGCCGCAGCCGCTCGTGCGGTCCGTGGACCCGGCCCGCACCGCGACCCTCGCGTCGCAGCTCGCTGACTGGGGGTGAGCTGGCATTGGCGGCCCGGGGTCCGGGAGCCCCGGCGCGGTGCGGCCAGTAACCGGCCACCGCAATGCCCATGCCCACCAGTACCACGAGCGCCCCCAGCGCCGCGAACGCCCCCGACGGCGAGCGCAGCCGCAGCCGTGCCCGCACCCGCAGAGGCTCCGGGGGGGAGCGTGGGCGCCGGCGGCGGCCCAGTCGGCGGCCCAGGCGGGAGACGCGGCCCTCGGGGCTCCTCCGCACCTCCCCGCAGTCTCCGGGGCTCCCGGCGGTCATCGCGTTGTCGTCTGGGCGTTCTGCGGGGAGAAGATGGGAGGCGGAGACTGAACCGACGGGTCTAGGTTCGGGGCTGCAGACACGGGGCCCAAAGCGGGGAGGGAAGCTCGGGCCGCCTCGCCCTGGCCGCTTGGAGATCCCTGGCGGCCACCCCCGGATTTTCCCGGGCTGCGAGGCAGGGAGCCTCCCCCGCTCGGGTTTTCCGCAGCAGAGCTCGGAGCCAGGGACGCGCGGCAGAAGCCCGAGTTGGCCCGGCCCGCTGGCGGAGAGGAGGGAGGGGGCTGCGGGCCGCTCCTTGGCGCATCCCCGGCTGCGGGGCTCCGGCAGCCCGCGCCCCGTTCGCCTGTCCCATGGATCCCCGCCTCGGGAAGCGTGGGCCCCCGGCAGCCGCGTCTCCTGGGTAAGTACCGCCGGGGCTTGACCCCACCCCCGCACGTGGCTGCACCGTAGTAACCGAGGGAGGGGCGCCCAGACCGCCCGGGTCCGCAGGGGTCGCTCGCGCGCCCCACCTCCCTCCCCCCCACTGCGCTGTACATACCGCAGCGTGGGAAGGAGGGGGTGTCACTGACTCCAGCCTCTCCTTGCCCGCCCCCTCCTTCCAGGGTTCTTCAGTCAGCACTGGAGCTGCAGCAGGAGAGACTTGAGCTAGACTCCAGGAGGACCGCTGTGGCCGACGCCAGCCAGTCAGAGGAGAGGAGGCGGCGGCGGACTTTGTCCAGGATTCCTTCCACTCCGCCAGAAGAGGCCTCCCCTCCCCCACGGCCGGGCTGGGGCCGGGACAGGAGGCAGGGGCTGCCGTGCTGCGCGCAGGGCCTCGCCGGACCGTCTCCCCTCCCGGCTCTCCCGTCGGCCCAGGCAAAACTGTTCCCAGATTGCGGTGTTTCCGATTTGAGCTCCTCGGGATGAATCATCCCCTTTTCCCGCCGCCTGGCCTCCTTTCCGGCCTCCTCCGCCCGAGGCCTCAGTGGACCGCGTCCCGGCCAGAGCAGCACACCCCACACCCCGCGCCCCAGGGTCCGGGCCACACAGCCTAAGCCCCTCCTGGCGGCGGGTTGCGTGCGGCCTGTGACCGGAATACTGGCTCCCCGCCGGGCTGTGCGTGCGTGGCCCCCGGCTGCAGGACAGGAGGGTGCGGGCCTCGCTGTCCATCCTGGTCCCTAAAACAGCTGCGGCACTGGGAGCCGGGCCTCCCCACCCCACCTCCGCCCCGCCCCGCCACACCCGCAGCTCAAAAGCGGGACCCCGGGCCCGGCCCCGACAGCAGCGCCCAGGGCTAGGGCCTAGCACGGAGAGGGGCTCCCGCGTCCAGTCCAGTTTTCACCGATGGCAACCGCGGCCCGGGGCGGCGGAGGAGACTGCGGGGTTCCCGCCGCCGCACGAGGCGGGGGCTGCCCGGGAGCTCCCCGGCCCCACGCCCTGGGCACCTCTGGACACAGCCGCACGACCTGGGAGCAGGCGAGGCCCGCTTTCCCAGCCCGAAACCAGAGAAGGGACTACCCCGCCGCAAGCCAGAGCTGTCGCCCCTATCCTAATTCCAGAAAGGTCACCCTCGAGCCATGGTCCCCAAAAGGTCACCCTTGAGTTCCTGCCAGGAGCCGAAAGCATACAGACCAGAGGCCTGAGACTCTGGAGGGCGTGAAGCGACGCTGGGGAACCCAGGGAGGCTGGAACTTGGTGGCACAGTCCGATGGCCTCAGGTCGTCAGAAGTTGCTCCGGGGCAAGCGCCCTGTGTTCCCGGGGTCCGGCCACCGCCCGCATCCTCACTCTGGCCCGGGGAAAAGGAAGGGCTGGGCATCCGTCCCCGGGACCCGTCCCAAGGAAGGGGCCGAACAAAGTTAGGGACAGTTGGGGACGCGCCAATGGTCCCTCGTTCTGCTCACCTGGCGCCGCCGCTCCTGGGCGGTCGGGGTCCGGGTCCGCGCGCCGCGCTCCCCGCGCCGCCTGGGTCTCGGCCGAGTCCCGCCCCGGCCCCGCCCCGCGCGCCGCCCCGCCCCCGGCCGCCCCTGGGACCCTCGGACCCGCGCGGGGCGCCGAGAGCAGGCGCCATTAGGGCTGACGGCCGCGGGTGGGCGCTGTGTGCGCGTCCGGAGACTCCGAGGACCCCCGCAGGATCCCGCACCCCGCTGCCCGCTCAGCCCAGCACGCAGAGGCCGTGGACGGCGCCCCTTCCTGCGCGGGAAAGAGCCCGCCCGGCGGCCTCGAACCCCGCGCCCTCCCTCTGGCCCAGCCTCGAAGTGCAGAGGGGCGACCGCCAGCCGGCAGAGCCCGCCACCACGGCGCATCCCCGGACACCCGCTTCCTCGAGGACCAGCGGTCACGGGCGGGCCGAGGGAGTCAAACAGGGTGCGGCGGGTGCTGCCCAGGACGCGCCCACGCCAGTGGGGAGAGGCGCTTGTCCCGCCCCGGGGCGCTGCAGGCCGCGGCGACCCGCCGACGGCACCGAGCTCGCGGGTCCGCTCTCCCCGGAGCAAGAACGCGGGGCACAGCGGCGGGCCTGGGCGGACGGCCAGTTTCCATGATGCTGGGGGCGGGCTCGGGGGAGGGGCGCGGCGGCCGGGCCCCTGGGGACAGTTTCCGGCCTGGGATTGATTAAAAGCCGCCCTCCCCTGGCCGGCCGCGGGACCCCCCGGCACGCGCGCGGCGAGGGGGAGGGGCGCTAATGAGACCCGGCTGTGCGCCGCCGGCGGGGAGGGGACTCGAGCACGTCGTGGGGCGGGGCCGGGACCCGGAGCCACTCGGCTGGGCCGGCGCGGGACCCGATCCCACCACTCCTGCTCTGCGACAGAGAGCGGACGCATCCGCGTCCCCGGAACGGAGCCTCCTCCCGAGGACCTTGAGCGCACCGGCGCCCCGAGAAGGCCACAGTGCGAGAGGCCCAGCCTCTGCGGGTCCGAGAGCGAGGCCTGGGCCCGGTTCCTGCCTCCCCTTGAGCTGGAGGCTCCTGAGGTTGAGCAGCAGGGAGGGGCGCGCTCCGTCCTGCGTGTCCACCTCTTGATGGGGCCCTCCCTACTCCTGCTCTTTCCCAGCCTCTCCCTCTGTGAAGGGGCCCACTGTCCACTTTGGTCCACTAAGGTCACCTTAGGCTCCTTCCTCTCCCCTTTCCTTCCAGTCCAAGTCCTGGAGCCTCTGCTTTCTTCACATTGGAGTAAGCCACGACCTCCCTTCCCTATGGTCACCCTCCTATGGCCACCAATCCAGTCCAGGCCATCATCTGTTGTGTGGCGCGGTGAAGTGGGCATGGTCTGGCCACCTTCTCCCCTCCTGACTGTTTGCCGACGGCGCCAAGTATCGCTACTCTGAATCTGACGCTGCCACTCCCTGCTTAAAACCCTCCAAGGCTCCCCAGTGGTTCCAAATACAGTTTCAAAACCGTTCTGTGCACAAACATCCCAGGTCCTGTCACACTCCACCCTCTTAGGCGACCGAACTTGTTTCCATTCCCAGATCCTCCAGGGCTTGGCACTTTGGGGCTTTCTGTCTGGAATACCTGTTCCCTTGCTCCCTTCTCTTCCTCCCTTGGAGCTCTGGGCCTCAGTCTCCAGGCCAAGTCAGCCCTTCCTCTACCCCCGCCACCTCCAGGATATACACTCCAGCCTGAGGAGGTTCCCTGCCACAGGTGACCTAATGCTGTTTTTTTAGGAATGGAGTCTGCTTGCTGTCTATCCTCACTGGCCATAGCTCTGAGGGGCAGGACTGAGTCTGTCTTGCTTATCCCTTGAACCCTGTTCCCAGCCCAGTGTCTGCCCACGCTGGCTCTCCATGCCAGAGGAATGTGTGTGGGCCTGTCTCCCCCAATCCCACACCCCTTCCTATTCTCCACCCCTGAACGCTATCAGCAGGGGAAGAAGATTCAGCTCTCTGAGGCTCAGTTTCCCCATCTGTTAAAAAAAAAAAAAAGGAATCATACCCACTTCTGTGTTGAAGGTTGAGCATGTACATCTATCTGTCCAGCACCTGGCACAAAGCTCATACCAGCAAACAGCCTCTCCCTCCCTCTGACCATGGGCTCTCAGGCAGAGATGACAGTGTTTGGGGGCTGTAGAAGCTTCCTCTGCCTCATTTGGGGTGGCTGAAGAAGGAAGGGTCCTCGGTTCCCAGATAGAACCTTGTGTAATTCTCGAGAGCCCTAGAAGGAGGTCACTGTTATGCCCGCTGGTGGATGAAGAAAGTGCCTGGGAGAGGCAGGTTCCAGCCACAGAGCAGCCAGGCTGAGTCCCTCCCCTCAGGGAGGGATTGCCGGGCTCCTGTGTGCTTCAGCCCTGTGGATGTGCAGAAGTGTGGTAGCCAGTGGCCTCGGTATCATGACACTGATAGCGCCCAGGAGGCCTGGGTCAACTCAAATCTGCCCTGGCCTCTGTGTGATCCAGACTCCACTTCTGGAAGAGGTATCCCCCGGGGACCAGGTGATGCACACTTCTCCCCCAGTGTCCTTGTAGAGGCAGGGAAGCTGGCACAATGATTTGGGGGCTCTGTTGATCTGATGCTCCGTGTTCTGTCCAGGAGCCAACATGCAGCGGAGTGACTGTCATCTCCTGCATGCATGGCCCTACCCTAGGCCTCAGAAATTCAGCAGTGCCTGGAAATTTGTCTTTTCTCACCCCTACTTTAGGGACAACTGGATGGGCCTCCTGAGCTGCCAGGAATGTCCTGACTGACCCCATGTCAGGGTGCTGAGGAGCTCACCCAGAGGACATGGCTGCATCACCGCTGATGGCTCAGAGACCTGGAGCTCAGCTAGAATTCAGATCCACTTTGGGAGGGTTGGGAGCACACAGCTCCCACCCAGCTGTGATTGTGCTGCGTGCTCGCAGGATGTCGTGGGCGAGTCACAGCCCTCCTCACTGCGCCTGCTTCTGTAATGTGCTCTTCACAGGCAGGACTGCTGTATGGTTCAGTGACACGTGACTGGCAAGAAGAATCCAGAGTCCCAATCCCAGAGGGCAGAGTGGGGCTTCAAACCCCAAGACCGTGAGTTCCGTATGGTTCTGGGATATGAACCACAAAGCC